GAGGTTTTTACCTCCAAGGAATTGCTAATGCGGAAGATTGGACGTTAGGCCAACGGAGAGGTTGTAGAATAGTAGACGTGGCGGACTTCGAGGACGAAGTCTAGTTTAAGTGGGGGAGAGTTGTAACACCCCAAATTCAGAAGGCCAAGAAAGGAAAGGAAAAACCCTAAGTCAATGAGTCAACTCGTCGAGTCCAAGGAAGAACTCGACGAGTCGGAGCGAGTTCCGTGTCACGGATTAAGTGGCCGACTCGGCGAGTCTGGTCTGGGTTGGGAAACCCTAATTTCGGGACTTGGTGCCCTATTTAAGCATCATATTCTCATTCCCTCAGCCTCATCTTCAGCCACTAGACCCTAAACCCTCACCCACGAAACCCTAGTGCATCTTGTGAGTGTTTGACCCACCTTTGTGTGATTAGTGTGCTCTTAAAGAGGAAGAAGGAGAGGAAGGAAGTTGAAGGTTCAAGGAGGAGGAAGTAGATCCAGAAGATACACTCCATTGGATGCAATTCTTGGTAATCAAGTCTTTATCTTGGCTTTTGGTTTCTTAGATCTAGTTATGTCCCTTTTATGAAGTTTTTGGTCCAAGAATGATTATTTGTGGGATTTGGACGTCCCCAAGCAAGATCCTTTCAGATCTGAGAGTGTTTAGGGTAGTTAAGGCATAAAGGTGGAAACTTTATGCCATTAGAACTCCCCATGCAAAGTTTAAGAGGTTGTTTTAGCCTTTTGAGCAAAAAGGGGCCATGCATGGATGTAAAGGCAGTAGCCTTGCGTGTTATTCCGACCCTAGAAGGTTAGATCTGGGTCCTGGATGCTTTGTGCTTGACTGAAATCGTCTGAATAGAATTGGACATAGAGGGACTCGGCGAGTCACTTGTGGGACTCGGCGAGCCAGGCCGTTTCTTGCCCCAAAACCCTTCTGTTAAAAGGTGTGAGTTGAGTTGGTAAGGGACTCAGCCAGTCTGGGTCCATAGTGGACATGATGATCATCATACTCGACGAGTTCAAGGAGGAACTCGGCGAGTCCAAGGCAATCTCCTTAATTTATGAAGGTGGACTCGGCGAGTTCAAAGGAGAACTCGGCGAGTCAGATGAAGAAGGGTCCAGATGTGTTGAAGGTGCACTCGGCGAGTTCATAGAGGACTCGACGATTTGGATCGAAGTCCAGAGTTTTGTGTGGATTGTGGGACTCGACGAGTTGGTGGGTCAACTCGGCGAGTTGGGTCAGCTCGGAGCGTTGACCTTGACCGTTGACTTTGACCAAGTTTGACCTGGGTTGACTTTTGAGGGTGTTGTAGTCTAAGTGATGTTTGGTATTGGTAGTTCGGGAAGCCGAAGGGTTAGCAGTTCAGGAATTTGGCAGTCAGCAGCCAGAGGAGTATCAGCAGGGTTCAGCAGTGCAAGGTGAGTCTCCTCACTGTGTGCATGGGTCTACGGCCATAATGCCGACCCATTATGTTTATGTTTATGTATAGTAGGAAGACCCGAGGGTTAGCCCTAGGCACTTATTGTGATATGTTTTGGATTTAGATCCGTTACTGGAGTTAGCCCGATGCAGTTTATATGTTCCGGATTTCGGTCCGATGTCGGGTGGTACCCGAGGCAGTAGTGTATGTGTAGTTATACTTGTTGTCTTTGTGATACTTGTATGTGTCTGGTAGGAAGGTGAGTTCGGGCGAGGCTCCGTATCTCATCACTAGCTGAGTACGGACGAGGTTCCTGTGACATCCCCATTTTCACGGCCAGAAAAGACCGATTTTGTTTATGCTTTATAAAAATCAGAGTACCTCTTTTAATAAAAATGTTGCGGAATTTGTTCCCAGTAAAACATGATAAATACGTTATCAAAGCATTTCCGAAGAAAAATATTTTTATTCATTTTAAAACATTTGGGATGTCATCGTCAATACAGAAACATAAGCATAAACAGAACTTACATTCATTATCACTAGTGATTTATATCTCCTTAATCTCTCAGTGTAATGTGACTTCATATCAACACCTGTGATATAAATAAACTGAGTGGGTCAGGTTGGGAAACCTGGTGAGTACATAGGGTTTTCAACCCACAATAAATAAGTTTATTAACTTTATCAAACCAAACAAACCCGATTACCCATTCCCGTTATCCTCACTTTACGTCCCTAAAACATCTAACACAAGGGACCTAGTCTAAGGACTTTCATCGGGGTGACAACACATGCTTCGGGGGTTCCTCAGCAATTCATGTCAAATAAGGCAACCATGTGGGGGATGGAGTACTGCTGGTGAGCACACAGTTCAAATAAACACCTACAGGTTGCGAGCCTGCTAGCGTTCCACTGGACTGTCTAGAATAGTCCGTGGTCGTCATCTATACTCCGCTAGATGACTGGATCATCAATAACATCTATATCGAGGCCTATCGTTATTTTATTTTGTCACAGAGCAACTATTCATCTACCCATGTTTTACCCAACACATTTTGTAGATATAAAATATATATACAGTTTAAATCATTTAAAACATGTATAAAATTGTTCATCCAACATAGATAGCAAGTATACAGATAATATGCACACACAGCACGTAATTTATATAAAATACTTCATATCTATGTGTAAGCTGAAAGGGACCATGCACTCACTTGAAAAGGTGGTGATTCCGAACTCAGACAGCGCTTCGCTTCTTAAAAATAATTTCCTTCGACGAAACCTAGTATTATTACCACTAGAGTTTAGTCTATTATTCGCCGAGACTAATTAATAGTCTAGCTATTATTACTATTATATAAGTGTTAAACAATACTTATATAACCCATAATAATAGCCCAAGTACTTATTATAAGTACCTAATAACGTTACTATATTTAAATAAAAGCTATATTAAAAATAGCGTATGCGTAGCTCACTTACAGCGGGTTTTATAGAAAACCGGGCTTTGCTTGGAGCAGCGTTCCCGAGCCGAAAATATCTTCTTCTCGGAGCCGTCGAGCACTCCGGGGCTTCTGCCTCGTGCTAGGGAGGTTCCCTAGGCTTTTCGGGGGGTTTCGGGGCTAGAGAGAGGTTCTAGAGAGAGAGTAAAGAGAAGAAAGAATGGGAAAGGTGTGAAGAAAATGAGGGTGGGAGAGATTCTATTTATACGGTGAAAAATGGCTGAACTTGGTGCCACATGTCACCATCTAGTGGCAAGACTTGGGGAGAAAGCAATGACCAAGATTGTGCCACATCACCCATTTTCGCACATCACACTTCCGACTTCTAAAATCCGTAACTTTCACATACGACCTCTGTTTTTGACGTTCTTTATATCCACGCGTAGGTAAAAATAAGATCTACAACTTTAATTTTGACTCCGTCGGCTAATTCTCGACCGATTTTAAATTTAACAGTACGAGGAGATTATACTGTTAAATGTCCGCGTAAAATTCATAACTTCTACATACGGACTCTGTTTGCGTCTGTCTTTTTACCGTTGAGTTCCTACTAATGATATCTTCAATTCTCATTTAGGTTGCGTAGGCAAAAACCGCTCGATCTAAAATTCGAGTTTCGGGCTGTGCACTGCTAAGCCAAATCTTAGAAAATTCATAACTTCCTCATACGAAGTCAGATTTGGGCGTTCTTTTTTTTGTATGTTCTCGGTTTAACGTATACTACAAATTTTGTTTAGATTTCTAAGGCTAAAAAGTTCTCCATCGTAAATTCACTATTTACGTCTCCCGATGTCGTGTCGGTTTTGCCGTAAAACTTCGACGGACCATAACTTCTTCGTTATAACTCGGATTTCAACGTTCTTTATATGTACGGAACCCTTGAGACGTGTTCTACAACTTGGTTAAGATTATTTATTCTAAATAATCTTTTGTCAAAAAGTTGTTTTCGACCCCTATTATCTCTAAATTGACTAGCCCGGATCTACGGGCGTTACAGTTTCGTATCTCATTAGCAGCAGAGCAGGGGCGAGACCCGAGTTAGGATGGAGGTGAGTGTGGGCGGGGGCTCGTATCTCACTATCAGCAGGAGTGTGGACGGGGTTCCATGACTCATCAGTAGCAGGACAGGGGCGGGGCCCAAGATAGGCGAGGCCTTAGATCAGGAGTATAGTAGAGTATGTTTAGCTTATTTGTTTTATATCATATATGCTTAGCGGGCGGGGCCTAAGAGAACAGATCTGTATATCGAGCGGGGCTCGATGCCAGGCGGGGTCTGATGGCGGGCGGGGCCCGATGCCGGAGCTAGTCCCGATGCAGCGGGCGGGGGCCCAGTATGTGGTTATTTATGTGGTATGTGGTAGATTGGGGAACTCACTAAGCTTCGTGCTTACAGTTTTCAGTTTTGGTTTCAGGTACTTCCGGTAGCGGAGGGAGGAGCTCGGGGTGATCGCATGGCACACACCATAGTTTGTTTAGCCTGAGATGTTTTACTCTGATAAAAGAATATGTTTTGATGTTTGACTCTGATAAAAGAATATGTTTTGATGTTTTACTCTGATTTGATATAACAGTTTTGTTTATGAATGAAATGGTGGATAATTATGGCTTTCACTAATGATTTAAAAATGAAATTTTCGGTCCGTATTTTTGGGGTGTTACACTTATATTTTCTGAAATGTATATATTAAGACTTTGAGATTGGTGAACTCTAGATAGCCATAAATGCTATGTAATTCATTCTTAAGGGTTTGTTGGTTACTGACCCTTAGATTATACTAAAAAAAAAATAGTATAGTGTTTTATAATGGTTTGAAAAATATATATTGGGTTTTCTGATATCACAAAGATTAAATTAGAATTTTTAAGAAAATATAGAAGTTCTAATAAAAGATAATATAATATATATATTTTTTAAATTTAATAATTTTCTTAGGATTTTACATATCTCAAATTCTCCATGACTTTTTAATATTATCCAAAACAATAGAATATAAAGCAATCATTTTTGGGCCAAAAACAGCCAAGGTGAGCCCAGCCCGTATATGCAAATATCTTCACACATACACACAAGAAATGAACACTCGGTAAAACCTTATCCACCCCCAAAACCCCAAGGAAACCTCCATTATCGACCATCATGTTTCCCCGAGTTTTGAATTCAATCTCTCGACGATCTTGATTGCTTATTAACGTAATTCAAAACTCGATACTCGATACCTCCTTCTGAATCCTTAGCAGATGGAGCTTTCTTCTCCATTAGTACCCTCAAGTTCAAACATCTTTCACCGGACCCATGACCTCTCTTTCTCCTCCTCCATTTCACCTTTCCCAGTCAAAACCCACTTCCAAAAACTCAAATTCCGAAAACCCATTTCTAACCCCGCCATTTTCGCCGTCGTGGACTCCCAGGAGAAACAGGAACAACTCCCTCAAAACAGCCCACAAAGACTTCTCAAAGAGCTCTCCCAACGCAAGCAATTCGTATCTCCTAAGAGAAGAGTACCCCCGAAGCGATTTATCCTCAAACCCCCATTAGACGACGCAAAATTAGCTCAAAGGTTCCTCAACAGCCCTCAATTGTCGCTAAAGCAATTCCCATTACTCAGCTCTTGTTTACCATCAATGAAATTGAACAATGCTGATAAAACATGGATAGATGAGTATTTGCTTGAGGCAAAACAGGCTCTTGGGTACCCTTTGGAACCATCTGAGAATTACGGAGATGATAACCCAGCTAAGCAATTCGATACGTTATTGTATTTGGCTTTTGGGCATCCGCATTGTGAGAGAACGAATGCGAGACACGTGAGATCTGGGCATTCCCGATTAGGGTTTTTGGGACAGTTTGTTCTTGAAATGGCGTTGGCTGAGTTTTTCTTGCAGAGGTATCCAAGGGAGTCACCAGGTCCAATGAGGGAAAGAGTGTATGCTTTGATTGGGAAGAAATATTTGCCCAAATGGGTTAAAGCTGCTAGCTTGCATAACTTGATTTTCCAGTTTGATGACATGGATAAGCTTCTTAGAAAAGAGCGAGAACCACCAGTGAAGTAAGTCCTTCAATTTTTGCCATAACTTATTATATCTGAAGCTATCATACTTAGGGAAAATTGGTGAGGGTGTGAGATTGAATAATGTGAATCATATTCATATAATCAATTGCAATTTGATTGAAGTGATAGTGCCCTAACATTGAATCTAAACTAAAAGATTACAATTTTATTTACAGGTCAGTAGTTTGGGCTTTATTTGGAGCAATTTATCTGTGTTTTGGTATGCCAGAAGTTTATCGTGTACTCTTTGAAGTATTTGGAATGGACCCTGAAGATGAAGAATGTCAGCCTAAATTAAGAAGACAACTTGAAGATGTTGACTTTGTCTCTGCTGAATTTGAAGGAAAAAAACTCACTTGGCAAGAAGTCGCTGCTTACAAGGCAACTTTTTTTTTTTTTTACTTTTAATATACCTCACAAGTGTACATCCATGATTATGGGTTCATATATGAATTCTAAAAGTACTTGGTTTGACCTAAAAAGTCAAAACAATTTCTTTCCACAGCTCATATTTGTATCATTTACATTTTACAGCCTCCTGAAGATGCTCTTTTTGCTCATCCAAGGCTATTCAGGGCTTGTGTGCCACCTGGAATGCATAGATTCAGGGGAAATATATGGGATTATGATTCTAGACCTCAAGTTATGAACACATTAGGGTATCCTTTACAAGTTAAAGATAGAATCCCAGAAATTACTAATGCCAGAAACATCGAACTTGGCCTCGGATTACAGGTGAAAATTTATCATCTCTCTGTTTTCATTATATATATACATTATTCTAATATATCATTTTTCAAAATCCAGCTTGCTTTCTTGCACCCTTCAAAGCACAAGTTTGAACATCCTAGGTTTTGCTTTGAACGACTTGAATACGTTGGCCAAAAGATACAGGTACTGTCATTGTCAGTCTGTCACTGTCACTGTCAGTGACGTATTTGAGAATGTTGTTGATGTTGCAGGATCTTGTAATGGCGGAGAGGCTGCTGATAAAGCATATAGATGCTCCGGGAAGGTGGTTGCAGGAGAAGCACAGGCGACTTCTTTTGAACAAGTTTTGTGGGAAGTATTTGAGGGAAAAACACCTTCACAGGTTCATAATTTACAGTGAGGAAGTTCAAGATTCTTATGAACATAACAGGAGGCTCAGGAATCCGGCCACCACCTCGGTTCAACAAGCCATTCATGGACTATCATACACTGTTTATGGGAAACCGGATGTTAGACGCCTCATGTTTGAGCTTTTTGACTTTGAACAAAGTCAACCTAAAGCCGTATGATTCATGTTCATGTTCATGTTTGTTCTTGATGATGTACATATGTCTATGTGTCATGGTGGTTGTTTTGTTACACACTTTTACATGTAAGATTAATGTACCATTTGTTGGACAAAGTAACCATATGGAATGTATAAGTAGAAAAAAGTGGTGGTGGGGTCTACATCAAAGGCAAAATGGGATTTTTGAAAAATACATGAATAATTTATTGAGAAATTAAATATTTTGCTACATTTTATTCCTACTTATCCTACTATCATATCAAATGTTGAAAATGTATCACATTTAATTACATATTTAATGAAATTAATAATCATTTAATTCACTTGTCACCATTTGATATGGTAGGAGGACAAATAGGAATAAAATGTAGGAGGATATTTAATTTCTCTAATTTATTAGAGATTTAGATCAAGTATCTTAATGTTTCGATCGACATAAAGTTTTATCTAATAATGTTCTAAAATGTGTTCAAGTTTTGCTCAAAAAATGATGTTTTATTGTTTGATCTGACTTTTATCATTATGTGTGTGCAACAATTGAGAATTTTCCGTCATTAATTGTTACTAAGAGTTAGGTTTAACTCAAAGACAAAAACTTCTCATATTGAAAGATAATATGGAAAGTTGAATCGAAAATAAAGTAATCAAAAAGTTAAAATGGTTAGCGTATTTGAAAAATACACAACCTAATGATCCCAAAAATTAAAAGCGTTCAAAAAATCTAACTCTGATTGAAAAAGTTATGACTTATGACGAATAGAAACCAACCACATTAATAACGTTATTGACGTCAAAAATAGCAAAAAGAGAACGGTTGGCTTCGGCTAACACTACAAAAAGAAAATTCGTAATAAAGTATTAGATAAGAACTTGAGAAGAAAGAAAGGCAAAAACGAAAGTCGTATTAAAGAGATATAATTTTTATAAAATATAAAAATGTGGTAAAAATGAAAGTTAAAATTAGAAGATGCAATCTAAAGGAAAGTTGTAGTTTTAGGAAAAACTAGACAAATATATAAAGAGGGTAAAAAACAAAGTTCATATGAAGAAAATATGAATTTTTAAAAAGAATCGAAGGGTGTGCGTCAATGTGCGCACCATGCTCGTCACGCACATCTGACCCCAGATTCGTCGGAGATTTGGAAACATGGACCACCAGAAATGTGACACGTGACAAGATTAGGATGGGTCACGAAGCGAGTGCACGCCGCACAACAGAGTGTCCGACGCGCACCATCACTATAAATAGAGGTGCTTGCTTCCTGGTTTTTCATCTCAAACCAACCTCCAAACTCTCTCTCTCTACTTCAATGCCCTCCCGATGGCAAAAAAACTCTGGTTGTAACAGTTCGAGCGCTCCTCGATACGCTATTAGTGTGAGTTCACGATCCCTATTTTACTGTTTTAAATGTTTTCAGGAGCGGAATACGTGATTAACAAATAATTTTATAAAAATATTTATCCTATAAAGATTAAGTCATTTTATTATATGCAGGATGTCTTATGATAGTATAACCGTAGATATTATGACTAGATTTAAGTTATGATATGTGTCTAAAATATATGATGCCCGATAATCTAAGAGTAGGTAATACCTAGATATTATAATAGTCAAATCTATATGAAACTTTAAGTACCTAGGAGTTATGTTAAACAAGATTTGGGATATGCATTGTACTTAATTGTTACGATTCCCAAATATCATGTTAAAATAACCATAATTAGGTTATATATATATATATATATATATATATATATATATATATATATATATATATATATATATATATATATATATATATCAGATAATTATGAGATCATAAATATAATTATCAAATACATATATATACGATAATATATATATATATATATACACACACACACACACACACACACTAGCCGTTTACCCGCACCAAGCGACGGGTGCGAATAGTTTCTTTCGGAAATTATTTTTATTCGAAATATGTATGATTGGACACCCAACTTTCACACAAAGGTAATGAAAAAATACACCCCTAAACAGTGAAATCTAATTTGTTATGGAAGATGATAACTTATACCTTGAAAACTAACCCATGTTCTTTAAGTCAAGATTAAAAAAACAAAAAAATAAAATAAAAAATAAAAAGATACCTGTCAGCCTGTCATTAAATGAATATATTTTGGCATTCCAGTCCGATGACTGATTGGGTCGAGGCATTCCAGTCCGATGATTGATTAGGCCGGGGGTAATCTAGCCCGATGGTTGTAGGCCCGAGGATATTCCAGTCCGATGACTTATGGGACCTACCATGCATGATTGTATATGTTATGATTGTGTGTGGTACTTTGGGGGAACTCACTAAACTTTAGCTTACGGTTTTCAGTGTTATGTTTCAGGCACTTCAGATGATCAGGAGAAAGCAAATGTGTGATAGTGCACATCCTTCCAGTTTTTATGATTTTGGATTTTGGGATACTCTGATTGTGATTGTTACTTTTGAGAACAATGTTTTGTGAACAATATATTGTGGTCTTTGGTTGGATTTTTAAAATGAAAATTTTACCTTGATTTTTGGGATGTTACAGTATCGATGATGGTAGCGGTGGTAGGGTAGTAGTGGTTGTGATAATGGTGGGTCGGTGATTGTGGTAGTAGTGGTGGTAGTTGGGGGTGTGTGTTTTAGGGGTTAGGGGTAGGGTGGGAGGGTGACATGAGAGTGGGTGTGTGTTTATATATTAGAAAAAAAATAGAATTAGAAAAAATATGGTGTTGGGTCCAAATTTGGTTTATACTTTGCTTTTCTAGGAAAATGTATTTTTATGTCTAGGACTGTAAACAGCTTGGTGTTTATGGTTGTATATGTGTTTACGGTTGTGTTTACGGCCATGAACAGGTTTACGGCCTTAAACCCGTTCACGACCCATGTCTACTATATATATGGTGAGGAGTGGTGTAAGAGTGTACGGCTGAGAGAAGAGGAGCTTAAGTGTATGAAACTCAAGGTGTTTTAGAGGGAGAATAACTAGTGTGTGTGTGTACTATGTGTATGGAGCATCATTCTATTCATTGAATACATCATAGATTCACTTGTTCTTCTTCTCCTTCTCTTCTATTTTGATCTGACATCATCCGTTTGATTGGGATTCCGCACCATCAAACAGATCTGATTGATACACAAGCAGATTTGGGACTTACAATTGGTATCAGAGCTTGGATTGTATCAATCATTTTTGTCAGATTTGGAGCGTATTTGATCTTATTTTTGAAGGATTTCTGCGTTTTTTTATAGATCTTGGCAAAATAAGGGAGGTTTGTTCGCGTTTTTCATAAAAACGAGTTTTTGATCGAGTTTTGGAGCTACAAAGTCGAAAAAACGCTGTTTTTGGTCGTAACCAGCGAGGGGGTGGCGGCGTGTACGACCAGCAGCTACGGTTTCCGAAGTGTTTGCGGCCAGAAACAGTTTACGGCCCGGAGTTTACGATCATCGGTTTACGGCCTCGGAGTTTACAGTCCGAGGTTCACGGCCAGCCTCGCCTCGGGTTTACGGCTCAGCAGCATCGCACGTGTATGGTCGGGGTTTGCGGTCCTCGCCTCGGATTCGTGGTCAGCCTCGCATAGGGTCCGAAGTTCGCACTGCGTTCATTTAAAAAAAGGGGGAACCAGTTTTTGGGCTACCAGGTTTCGAACCCTAGTCACCCGCATCCACAACAAAGGCGTCTTACCAGTTGGGCTAGACTGCTTGTTGATTTCAACCTTTGCGTTTTAATTCAAAAGGCTTCTCCAGTTCGACTAATTTCGCAAATTTGACACTTTTAGCCCAAAATTCAAATTTCTTTTATTTTTAAATTCTATTTTCTTCCAAAAATTTTAGCTTTTAATTTTTAAATTTCTAAATTGACCTTTGACTTAAAATTTTGACTTTGACTTTCAAGTTTGACCTTTGACCTTAAACTTTGACTTTCTCGTTTAACCTTTAAATTTCCAATTTTAGCTTTTCGGTTTGACTTTTAATTTTGACTTTTTAAGTTTGACTTTTTATGCTTGACTTTTAAGGTTGACTTTTGAGTTTTTAGTCAAAGGGCATATTTTTTATAAAAATGAGTTCCTCAAACATCCCGGTCACTGAAGTTTCATGTTCTCAATCTTGTGAAACTACTATTAAATTTCTTCGTGAACAAATTGAGTTACTAAAAAGGGAAAATGAGGACCTAAAGTACAATGGATATCAACTTAGGAAGGCACAAAAACCCCTAAAAGAACAATTAGAGACCAAAACCAAGGACTTCCGAAAACTACAAGAAGAATATAGCAATAAATGTGCAAACTATAGATATGTAACAGAACAACTTGCAGAGTTAACTGCTGAACTTGACACATTGAAAAATAAGTTTGAAAATGCAGATTTTAATTTCAGAAATTTTGATGTGTCGAGTGAAGTAGTTGCGTCAATGATGGAAAATAGTTTGAGATTTAAAAATAACCAGCAAAAGGGTTTAGGGTATAATAAAGTGCCTCCTCCCTTTAATCACACCTGTCAGTATAACCTTTTGACTGAAGAAGAGATGAACAGAGAGCCACTTCTTAAATATGGATTTGTGTCAAGAGGTAGTATTAATGTTGAAAATACTAATGTTTCTACTTCCCATGCAGATCACTCTTTAAGTCAATCAAAGCAAGCAACCGAAGAGAGTGTGTCTGATAATAAAATTGTATCAAAGTCAGATGACTTAAATTTTTTCGATATATTTGATGATATCTTTGATAATTTTGTCGTGGTTGTGCCAGAAAGTGTTGAGCTGAACGATTCTAATGGTTCTACTTCTTGTGCAGGTAAAGTAACGGAAGATGAGAACAAGGAGAAAACTATTTAACAAACCAATGTATCCTTGAACTCTGAATCTGTTGCTTCGAACTCAGTTGATTCTGATCAACCTGCTGTTGAGAAATACAGGCCACCAAAACAAGCGAAATAGAGTGCCTGTTGCAAGTGTGCTTGTGGGAATAATAAGAGACAAGGCATGGATACGTCACCAGGGGCAGGAAGAAACAACTCCTACGTGAAGAAGCACACTTGCTTTCACTGTGGAACACCTGGACACATTGCCAGAAATTGCCCTAATCGCGCATACATTCCCTATTACGCACAAGGCTGGCAGAAGGTGCCAAGAGGGAGATTCTCCAAAGGAAATCATTCGAG